CAGGAAAGGACTCATAAAAAGAACATATACAAAATATATATATATATATATATATGAAAGAATATATATATAAATATGAAACGATGTGGGTAAAAAATTCAATGAATGAGAAAAACGAAAGTTCTCTTTTCATCATGGTTTACTATCTATCTATTTTTGTTGAGGACTCTCGTGACATACATACATACATACATACATACAAACACACACACACACACACACACACACACACATAATATATATATATATATATATATATATTTTTATATTTACACACACACACACACCTACATCGACCCATATATATATATATATTGTTTATTTGGGCAAAAGAATTTCATTTTTAGTATCCATCTGACACAATTTGATAAATTTTTGAATTTCCGCCCACTATCCTCAACATTTCTGTGGGACCACATATTTATCATCACCTGCTTTGACAAATGACGAAACGTGTCGGTAAGAACTAAGTACTATTTTCCGATTGTCTGTTTTATTGAATTTGTCTTCTCTACAGATTTAGCCTAAGAAATTTAACAGTCTGAGGCCACAGTCTGTTTCATGCTAAACGCAGTCGTCAAGCACATAAATAATTGAGAAAGAAATAAAGGAAACTTCAATGACTGAGAAAGAATGAAAGAAAGAAAGAAAGAAAGAAAGAAAAAAAGAATAAACGATTGGGAATAAAAAATTCAATGAGTGAGAAAAAGAAAGAAAGAAAGAAAGAATAAAATATTACGTAATAAAAAGTTCATTCAGTGAGAAAGAAAGAAAGAAAGAAAGAATGAATTAATGAAAGAAAGAAAGAAAGACTGGGCATTACGTCATTTTTCTCTACCACCGTCCAACCGGTGGCTGGGCATTACGTCATTTTTCCTTACCAGTGTTCAATCGGTGACTGGGCATTACGTCATTTTTCTCTACCACCGTTCAACCGGTGGCTGGGCATTACGTCATTTTTCTCTACCACTGGTAAAGCAGTTGTCAGGTCCCAAAGTGTTAAAAAAACAACCCACTGAAACGTGTTGTCATAAAATGTTAGCAGACAATTCATTTGTTTTTTTTTTTTACGGTTTATCAATCCTTTGCAGGTTATTTAATATCAGGAGATATTTTTAGATTGTAATTCTTTCTGGGGATAATAATAGATTTGGTGATGCAAGTCTTACTAATTAACCTATAGCTGGGGAAAGAAAAGGTGAATTCCTATCTTCCCTAATGGAATTTGCACAAGTGAATATAACAAACTCAACTTGAATTGGAACTCAGCTCTCACGATTAATAATTCCGAGCCCACAATGGCCTTACGGGCACATCACGTTTAAAAACCTGTTCTCGTGCGATCAACGAAGTTAAGCAACGTCTAGCTTGATAAGTACCTAGATGGGTGACCGCTTGGGAATACCAGGTTCTCTAACCTTGGATGTGCGGGTGGTGTAATGGATAATGGCTCGGAATTGTTAATCGGAGAGCCGAGATCAAATTCCAGTTAGGATCGTTATATTCACAGTTTCGTCTACAAGTTTACTCATAAGGTTTCGAACAACCAGAGGTGTTGTTTTCAGGCAATTTTCCTTGGGTCCTACAAGCTGGGATTACCACACCGGATCGATAAGATCGAATTCGCCTTCCTGAGAAATTGATAATGGTGAGATTCGAACCTGGCTCTGATGGTCCACACGCTCATATATATATATATATATATATATATATATATATATATATATATATATATATATATATGTGTGTGTGTATAAAAGAAAGAACAGTAAGATATATAATCCGGTGTTCTTATAGATATTTTTATTTCTACAAAATAGTGCTCAATGTAGGAAAAAAGCAAAATTTATATGGCATTTTTAAAAAAGCTAAAAAGAACAAAGGGTTTCGTCCCAGCCTTATCAAGTTTATTTTCTGGGATATAAAAATATATATATATATAAGCGTGTAAATTAAATTAATATAACGAATGGGAGGGAAATATATATATATATATATATATATATATATATATATATATATATATATATATATATATATCCTCCCCAGTAGTACGACTCTGAGTTTCATGCACAACATGCTACCGGTGAGAAAAACAAGTATATTTATTAGTATAAAATTATAGCTCTGTTATATTACATGGAGCACTATTTTAATAGCACCATCACATAATATGCGTATTATATATATATATATATATATATATATATATATATATATATATATATATATGAACTCTCTCGCCGATTTCCATGTATGAAAATCTTCCAATCTGATTTAGTTTTTACGTTTGTGTCGTATGTGACGCTTCAGTCCCGCTAGTGACCTGTAAGAAAAACCACATTTTGTGCAACAGCGAAGATCTTGGGACATAATCACAAGAATATTTGATGACGCCTTTCCCTGTTGTTCTCTCGTCTCTTTTCTATCTATCTATCTATCTATCTATCTATCTATCTATCTATATATATCTATCTATAATAGTAAAAAGAAAGAATAGTAAGATGTATAATCCGGTTTTCCTATTGGTATTTTTATTTTTACAAAAGAGTGCTCAATGTAAATTTACAGAGCATTAATATTATAAATTAACTGGTTTAAAATATGGATTTTTCGCTACACAGTATTAACCATGTTTCAAAAATGGAAGCTTCGAATTTAATTTTGTAATTAAATTAAAAACATTAGTTCCATTTCATCCTCAACCAAATCTTTGAGCCAATATATATATATATATATATATATATATATTATATATTAAAGACATTTTTATGTTTAACAATCTTTTTATAGATACAAGTATTTAAGTAAATGCTCTGTTTATAATAAACAGTATTAAATAACATTTACTGGCCTGAATGTCCGAGAAATTTTCATAGAAAATAATATATATATATATATATATATATATATATATATATATATTCAGTTGCATGGATAGTAGTTTGCAACCCCAGGTTTCACGCTTTTGCGATCCTCAGACAAAGTGGTGTCTTTTTTCAAAAGGGGATCTATTTATGCTTCTTTGTGTTTGATTATTTGTGTGTACTGCAAGAGTAGGGGGTGGAAATTTTCTTCTGTGCTTGTTTGGAATGACATTCTAACATACATAGACGTACATATATACAGGCGTATGCATTTTAGCCCGTATAAACACACCCATATAAATAATGTAAGGTTAGGCGCGGTTACACATCCATGCGTTTCAGACACACACATATATACGCAATTGTCATTCAGTTTCGGTGTCATGGTTGTAGCATTACATGCTTAGCAATGTTCTCTTAACAAGGAACGGGCGGCGGTGATTTTAATAGTTTTTTTTTTTTAGATCGGCCGTCCGCGCCGTCAGACATGCTCTCATTCCCTCACAGATGCACACATGTAGACGCGTACCGACACTCACTAATCTGTGTCCACTACCACCACGTTGGTTAATTGGATTCTCTTTGTGGGCATGTTGATGATGATGTTTGTATTTTTTAGTAACGATAACAGCTGGTGTTTTATTGACGGTTGAGATTATATCAATGGTAATAATAACTGTGATATTATTATTGATATATTAATAATAATTGATGTATTATTGGTTATTATAAACAGTCTATCACGAATGTTGAACTGTACAACCATATATATATATATATATATATATATATATATATATATATATATATATATATATATATATATATAAGGGATTGGTGTTTACGGAATAAATTCCAATAACCAACAAACACTATTCTTAAAAGAGTGCTCAATACAAGAGTAGAGCAAATATAATTATTTATCCGAAAATTATAACATAAATATGTTATAAAATCACTACAAAAATAGCCATTTTGTTTCAACACTTCTGGTCTTATCAAGTGATGAGGTTGAACCTCATCACTTGATAAGACACAAGAAGTGTTGAAACAAAATGGTTATTTTTGTAGTGATTTTATAACATATTTATTCTATAATTTTCGAATAAAGAATTTATATATATATATATATATATATATATATATATATATATATATATATACACACACACACACACACACACACACACACAGGATGTTCCAAAATAATGTATACACTCTTTAAATATTAATAGTTAATAATACATTGCCGTGATGTGAAAATGTAGTGAACAAAACAAGATCTAGATTTAAAATTCAAATGCTAAGCACTGACTCATTGATTTTGTTAAAAATTAAAAAGACTCGAATTTACAAACTCCTGCTAACAAATACAAGACTGTATATATGTACAAACTCACATTTACATATAATTTACAAACAGGAGCCAGTCAGGAAAAACATTGAAAAACTCCTAATACGCACTATTACACCCCCCCCAAAAAAAACAAACAAAAAAAAAAAAAAACTAAAAACCATTTATACACCAACAAAATTTATGATTAGACCAGATTAAAGTGCAAAATCCCAATTTTAATTCGCTACAATATGTCTATACAAAACGCATTTCTCCGGCGCGGCAAATAGAATTTTTTCTACAACACGTGGAAAACGCAGAATTTCGAATCGGCACTACTACTACTACTACTATGACACGAGCAATACAACACATCTTCTCCACACCTGTCTAATTTGCTTGACTCTTTCTTTCTTGCAGTGACGTTTGACCCAATTTCACCTGGCAAACATGCTTAAACACATATTACGACATTTTTCACACCACTGCTTTTTTTTTCACACCACTGCATTTCAACATGTACACATAAACTCATTCTTGCAAGAACTACTACGACCATTTTGACGACCTTGTATTAACCAAAATACATTAATTTTATTTGTAAAGACCTTAATTGATTTATATGGATATAAATTTGTTGTTTCACTTTACAATTTGATTTTCTTGTCTTACACCCCTCTTATGGTGGGCTATCTAACTAACAAGGCCAAATCAAACTAATCTGTTTCAACACTCATACACTTCGCTGTAACAGATAACCCACTATAAGAACTTATATGGATGAAAATATGCAAAACAGATAGATTGGAAGAAGAGGGACAGTTTTATACCCACCTAGATCACCAGATTTGACACCATTGGATTTCTTTTCGTGGGGGTTTCTAAAAGACAAAGTTTACAGCAGGAAACCTAAAACAATTGCTGAAATGAGAGCAGCAATTGAAGAAGAATGTGCTCAAATACCAGAGGAAATGATACTGGACGTTTGTAGGTCTATTTCTTCAGAGGGAACACGGTGGAGTATTGGATTGAGGAATCGCAGAGCCGAGTTCGAATTCCAGTCGAATCCATTACATTCACTTACGTGCTAATACCCTTGGGAAAGGTATGAATCCTCTTCCTCTCCCTACAGCTATGGGTAAAATAGCAGGACAGACTGGGTTCTATAACCTTGGATGGCAACTGGTCTAGGAGAAGGAAAACTCTGAATTCAAACCTGCTCTTAGAGGAGGGTGAATGGAGTCTCTCTGAGCCTTGGTTGGCAATCCATTTAGTGTTGGTGTCACGATAAAAACACCCTTGATAGCCCTAGCGAAGCATCAAGAATTCAGCTATTTGACAAGATTATGAACTACACCAATCAAAGTATTAGCTATGACAGATAAGGAATACTGGAAAGGTGTAGTGAGTTCAATCTCGGCTAAGGCCGCAAGATGATGATGATGTATTTCTTCAAGGTATGAAAAGTGTATTGAACAGAACGGCAACCAGTTTGAGCATTTGATCTGAACTCATCATTATATGAACATTCTGCCATTGCCTCAAATTCTTTAAATGTGTATTCTTTCTCTTGTATTAATCTTATCTACATGTCAAAATACATAAATTGAGTAAGTTATAACAATTCAAAATTTGTATACATTATTTTGGGACACCCTATATATATATATATATATATATTGTTTATGTTAAATTTGTAACCTGTAGGTGATATTACTTGCTTTGTCTAATTATTCTTGATTACACATCATTTCTCTTATAAATGCCCTCGTTTTCAGTTTGCACCCCACCCTTTTCCCTTTTCTCATCTTCTCTTTTCTTGTATACATAAGGTTATTAATGCAAAGCAGACGAAAAATTTTCACATATACATCGGCAATATGAATATCGTTTTTTATTGTGCTTAATGTCACCACAAAAAAAATCTATCCACATTTTTCCGGTGTCTGTTTTTTTAATTTTAATTTTAGATCAGCGAATCGGATGTGATTTATGCATCTGAAAAGAATTTATATTTATTTATATCTCACTCATTTAAACGGTTATTTAACTCCTCTCTTTAAAATTCTCCCTGTTAAATTTTAATTCTTCACCTTTAGGCCTTTCCTGTTCTTCTGTTACACCCTCTCTATAGAACTTTCATACATTTCCATCTCACACTTGTTTCCCACTCTCACTAAAATTTTGTTTTTTTATACCCGGAATTATATTTTCCGATTTCTTTTTGAATTTGTAGGTCTGATGAATTGGATCGTGATTACGATTCCAATGTAATAAATTATAACCATGGAATATTAGTGTTTGAGCCTTTTATATTATATTCTTACTCTGTCCTGGACATTGAATTCTACCTGGATTCTATCCTCTTGGGAATTTATATATATATATATATATATATATATATATATATATATATATATATATATATATATATTCTGATGTGATTATTTTTTTAATAAAATGTTATTTTTTCAGGTTATAAAAATGCGTGTCGATAATCATACGCTTCGGAATAATCATTCAAAAATGTCGTTGTTGAATTGTTATATTTCTTTTTCATAATAAATATTGTTTAAAAAACGCCTGATAATTATGCACCAATCTTATAGATACATATAATATATATATATTATGAAATGGACAAAGTCCGACAATTATTTTAAGACATTTTTATGCTTATACATTCTTTTTATAGATACAAATATTTAAGTAAATGCTTTGTTTATAATAAACAGTATTAAACAACATTTACCGATCTGAATTTTCACAGAAAATATTTTTCCTCCAGCAGGATTCGAACCTGTATCCTATACGAAACCGACATTTAGCTTGACGTGCCTTAACCGATTTGGCCACAGAGGAGCGTTCGGTTAGCAAGGTCGAATTTACTGTCTATAAACTTCAATCTTCCAAGAATCTCTCATCTACATTAATATCTGCTCAAAGCGCATCAAAAATGTAAACAAATGACGCCACACACTATGAAATGGACAAAGTCTGATAATTATTTTAAGACATTTTTATGTTTACACATACTTTTTATAGATACAAATATTTAAGTAAATGCTCTTTTTATAATAATCATTTGTTTACATTTGGATGCGCTTTGAGCAGATATGAATGTAGATGAGAGATTCATAGAAGATTGAAGTTTATAGGCAGTAAATTCGACCTTGCTAACTGAACGCAACTCTGTAGTCAAATCGGTAAAGGCACGTCAAGCTAAATGACGGTTTCGTATAGGATACAGGTTCGAATCCTGTCGGAGGACGAATATTTTCTGTAAAAATTTCTCGG